ACTGCATATGACGTCCGATCCTATATATCAGGCAAATTAAATCAAGCCATTTTAGATATTAGGAAGTTCAATTTCTCCAATGAAAGGTATATAACTTTCTTTAAAACATGCTTTGACAAATTCAAACTTATTATTTTGGCCGAATGATGCTTCTGTTCGCGAGTTTGATGTAAAGCAAAGAAATATTAGAAAAATCTAGCTCAACTTCCTGTTTTCTCCTCTGAGCTAAAAAAAGTGAATATCTATTACCAGTAGGAAAGATGTTTGACACTAAGCCGAAAGACTTATACAGCTTAAACTGCGACTCTGAAGTCTGGGTTTTCTCCGAAACTTGGCTTAAACCAAATGTCTTCAACTCTGAAATTTTAGGGAGCTACTTTGAGGGTTTTAGAGATGAACGTTCAAATAAAATTGGAAGTGGAGTACTTATTGGAAGAAATTCATTTTGCGAAATTGGAAGCGATGGAAGTTCTTTGTGTTACGTTTAATTAATGAAAATATTTACATATATTATCGCCAGTTTCTGACTTTGCCACTTACTTTCTCCAGTCGTCAATGTTGAAATCATTATTTTCCATTACTAAAACCTCTGACAATGTTTTTGTGATAGGCGACCCCAATTTATCCTTTTTTGATGACAGTTTGCTGGTCTAGCTCAACTCGAGATAAAGCTCATGACTTCCTGAACGAGCCTTCTGATCTGGGCCTTTTTAAATAAATATGGTCCATAATAAGTTTGAAAAGACTTAGGTTTTCATTAAGGCGCTGTGTTCGTTTCGTTTTGCCCGAAGATGGTTATCACCCATCTCTCAAATTATCGTAAGATGCTCCCTTTAAGCTTAGTTATCCAATGTCTACTTCATAAAAGAAAATTTCTGCTTTTTTTTATTTAAAAATGCTAATTATACTAATCTTAGAAACGCGTTGTGCGCAATCTCCTGGCCAAATGCTTTATGATTTAATAAAAAATTTAATAGATTGAAAAATAAGAAGACTAGATTATTCAAGCTCTGTAAAAAGGTTAGTAAAATTTCAGATAATGGTGCTTATTCCGTAGTTAGACAAAAGTATAATATTTTGAATAAATCGTGTTTCAAGAAGTATATGACAAGAATTGAAAATAACATTATTTCGAGTTTGCAGTCATTCTATAGTTTTGTTAATTCGTAACGTAAGATTTTTGGGTCTCCATCATCTTTGATAATGAATAATGAAGTCTGTAGTAATTATTACAGAATCGCAGACTTTTTCATATCTTATTACGCGCCGCACACAAATCTATTTTCGCAGCCATTCATTTATCCCTACTCAATGCGTTATTTTGATTACGTAATCACCGCCGCGGTAGCCGAGTAGTTAGCATTGCATACTGCCACTCCAAAGGCTCGGGTTGAAATCCTGGTGTCGTACTAAAATCCAAAATATTATAGAAAAATTTAAGTGTATTTCCGACATGATATAAAGCTCCTCATAGGAAGCGGCTTAGTATAAACTTTAGGTCCCTGCATTTGTTGGAAAAAAATTAGGACGCAATAAACACATATTGCAGAAGGAGCTCGGCAGTAAATCATTTCAGCAGTTCCAAGCACCAATTATATAATATATAGACGATATATATAATCACCATCTTAATGAGTTATCACCATCTTAATGCTCTTAATTGCTCATTGCTCGGTCTGGATAATATTCCTACTACTGTACTTAAATTTTGAGCTGAGTCTCTATTAACGATGCATCATTAATGCAAAATTTATTCCCCACATTGTGAAAAGAGTCATTAATTAATAGGCAGTAACGGCTTCAAAATTTGTAATTAATCAGATGTTATCTACACTGACTCCAGCAAAGAATTTGACAAGGTCTCATACTTCACTTTAAACTCGATCATTTCGGATTTACACCTTCTCTTCTTAAGTGGATTTCATCGTACTTGATTAGTAGAAAACAAAAAGTAATTTTTAAAAATGGAAATAGCAGTAACATCTGGTGTTCCTCAAGGCAGTCACCTTGGTCTTTATTCTTCCTTATATTCATCAATGACCTTCCAAAAGTTGTTCTTCTTTCCAAAATACTAATGTACGCAGATGATGTCAAACTCTTTAAATCAGTTCATTCTATTGAAGATAGAAAGCTTTTGCAACTTGATCTAAATAATTTAGTTAGGTGGTGCGATGCGAGCTGTATGTCCCTAAATTTAAATAAGTGCAAATATATGTGTTTCTCCAGAAAATCTTCCTAAACCTTTGCCTATATGACACATAATCACAGTAATGAGCAAGTTACTAACTTCATTGATTTACGGGTGACAATGTACCCTAAGCTAGATTTTAGAAATCATATAAATGCTTGTGCTAATAAGGCCAAAGGAGTTTTAGAATTTATTAAACGTTGGGCCAAGGAACTCAAGGACCCATACATTACCAAATTACCCTTTACCTCACTAGTTAGGCCCATTTAGGAATATGGCTTAGTTGTATGGAGTCTGCACTATCAATTTTATAGTGATAAATTGGAATCTGTACAAAAGCAAATCCTGGTTTTCGCGTTAAGAAATTTAAGCTGGGAATAAGAGTCTGCCTTCTTACAAAAGTCGTTTACGGTACATTCATATGCCTACACTCCACTGTCGTAGAAAGATACTTGGAGTTTTATTTTTAACTAAATTGATCTTATCTTTACCATCCATATTTTATAGCAGCTGATGAATAAATATGTAAGAGGAAAGTGTAAGCGCGAACGTCCGCGATCAGTTTCGGGTTCAGAGCAGTCCAGACAGTCACTGGCTTTCGGTTACCGTTCTCTTGGACTTAATTATTAACCCTCAGACGCGCTCCTAGGTCCGTTGGGCGGGAAGTGGGTAACGCTGGGTTCGTGGTAAAGAAAAAACACATACACATGTATATTCATAGAAAAACGTTAACTTATATGTTCGGTTATGACTGAAATAAATTCACTCCAATTTAGAAAGCCATTACGCAAAAGGTCTCTGAACTTGTTGTCAACGGAAAAAAAACTTTTTATTAATCGAGTTGTTGTGTTTGTCGTATTCATTTGCTCGGTTAAGAAAAGTTATTGCAAATAAAGTGGCTTAGAATTTAGGTTTAAATTTTAGTTTTTATTCATTTTTCTCGCTGTTATTCTTCCTTCGTTGAGTTCCGTACTTTGAAAAACTGTTTATCTAGTGCAGATGGCTAAAAGTAAATTTTTTGCGACAGCCTTAAAAATCTGGTATATTGTCATTGCTAGCACTTTTTAGTAGAAGTACTTTTAAAATTTCGTAGTTAATTTTTTTTCGATTCACAGCAGTTGACCGATCAGCAGCAAGTATCATTCATTTTACTCTCAATAATATGGTGAGCGCTCTCTGAGTATGTTTACTGAGCGCTAACTCACTCGTCCACTCACTGAAGCCCTCGCTTTGATAATTCCTTTTTATAGGTAGCTTCGTAAAATCTTGAATGTCTTACCTTTTTCTCTTCTCATTCTATGGGATTTATTTAAAAATTCACTTTTTTTTGCTTCATAATTATTTAATTTTTCACCACACAATCTCTATAATGGCAATAATTACTTCAAAAAGATCATCAAAATTTTCACGCGCTTTTGAATCCAAAAATGTTTATGCTAGCGTGAATTTTGATGTTGAATGGCACCGTGCATTTTACGCCGCTTTACAGATGTGTTTGTTTGGCGAATAAGATAGAGTTCGATCCGACCAAAGGACCAATTGTTGAGACCGTGAGTCTCAATAATGAGCGCCTGTAAGAACGCAAATCCCAATCGAAAAGAAAATAAACGAATAGAAATAAAAGGAGTTAGACAAAGAACTAACATATATTTATATCTATCTAAAATATTGTCCATTTGTTGAAAAAACAGAACCACAAATCAGAGGAGGAACTCGGCGGAAAATCGCTTCAGCGGTTACAAAGCGCCAATTATATATATGTATATAAAATATTGCCTCTAACAATTGTTATCCCAAAAAGTTACAAAGAAGACTTTTTAAAAGTAAAGAAACAGCTGCCTTTAACTAAATCTATAGAATTATGCGCAGAAGCGCTTTCACTTAGAAAACTGTCGAATAACAATTAATATGAAGAAAGGCACATCGATAATTACCAGATTATGCGCATTTTCGGCAGTTCTGACAACCACGCAGTGGACCTCAAACCTTTATTTAGCTTCTTCTTATTTTGAATGAAGATTGTAAATAAATAATTTAATTAAAAAACCTTTATAAGAAATATTGGGAGTTTGTTTGATATTGCTTAAGCCAGTAATAACTTAATGTGCTATCCAAAGCTGTGAAGTTGCGTTTTTACATGCTCTAAATAAATTCTAATTTTTCAATTATTTTTGTTAATATTAAATGAAATACCAAACAAAAAGAGTTATTTATTATATCTTTTTGGGAGCATTGATAGCTAAGTCTAGTTTTAAATCAATTTGTTTTGTTTGAACTCAAATATTCATTTTTTTTTAATACTTACTGAGTCATTAGTCCTAATTTGTTTGTTGTGCTACTTTTTTGGCTTCTATTTTTTATCTCAATTGCTTCCGTTAAGTTTATTTAGTGTCATAAAACACACTTTACCTTTTTTTTTGGCTGATTTCAGTTAGTCTCAAACTTCTTCGATTGCATTTTGGAACAGGCTCCCCCTTATCAGAAAAGCAAAGGTATATGGCATTTGTGAAACGGTGGTAAAAAAATTCACACCGTTAATTAGGACACTCTTGAGATATGGATCGGTAATTTGGAGCCCGATGTATCAAATCCGCTCTAAACGATTGAAATATATTTAACATCAATTGATCTTTTATAATTCACGACACTTTATTTGTATGTGAGCATGCGAGTTTTATAACATGAACATATTATATTTTATACATACGTAAATATAATTCCTTCATAAACTTTTATATTTATAATAATAAATATGATTTATTTCTTTATCTTAATAATGTTAACAGTGTAGCTATAATACAATTTCGGTTACCTGACATAATGGTAGGAAAACTTCACCGATGGAGTCATCACGTGAAAACCGATCGTAATCGAACACATGTAAATGTAGTACCTACCGATAAAGAAGATAACGACAAAGTATGCAATGCGGTAATTATTACATTCATTAAATTTCATTATTTGAAGAGAAAATAGGCTATATTTCTTATATGTAAGTGTTATTCTTCCGTTGCCGACGCAAAACATATCAAAAAACAGTAGAGAAGTAACAGCACAATTTCAATAATTTCATCCAATCGCAAATATTACATTGTTTATGTTTGATAAAAAGAGTTGTAAAACGAAGTGATCAAAAGACCGTCCTACAAACAGCAAATACTAGATAATATATGATATTAAACATCTTATTATGTTTTTAGCCTACCTACATAATTGTATGCAATTAGTCGCTTTTTTGCTTCTGATAACTTAGGTAAAAATGTAAGTTTTAAGGCCAAGGTTAGCTAAGCCCCTACGTTTATGTGAAAATAAACGTATGGAAACGAGTTACAACCGCTGTAGTAGCGACAGCATCGTTGAACTTACATTAACCCGGCTTTATATATATAATTCATTGTAACCACTGTAGCGATTTTTGTGGTTTTGCATTTTAATGTTTTTCCAACAAATGGAGGGAATTACAGTTTACAATAAGCCGTCTTCGAACGGCTGATCGTTTTTTTATGAGGAGCTTTATTTCATGTCAAAAATACTCTCGGAGGGGTTGACATTCCCTGCCGAGGGGCGACCGCAATTGGAACATTTAGTTAAATTTTTTATTTCTATTTATTTTCTATAACTCCTTGGATGTTAGTACGGCACCAGGACTTCGAGCCTTCCAAATGTAGGTATGCAATGCTAACTACTCGAATACCGCCTTTCGTTTGATTTATTTTTCCGAATTTTGTGAAGTATATTTTTACCTATTTTTTAAAGTTACCATAGTTCAAGATATAATAAATCGCTAAATAAATATTATTCAAATAGATTGGTTTCGGTCAACTCCCGAAAAGAAAATAATTTTAAGCAAATCCAGCCGTAAGTACGATTTTATGAAATTAAATCGGTTCTACATCCTTTACGATTATAGAACTTTGCTAATAATATATTTTTATTTACTATTAACTATGAGTAATTTCCCATGGCAACAAACATATCAAAGCTAATTTTTAACGTCTGTTTCCTGATTAAAGAACCTAAATCAAGAAATTAAAAATCATGGCATGTAATATAGCAGACAGCGCTTTTGACTATAATTCCACTTAATATTATTATAAAAACTAACAAGGCGAGGATAACAATTTCTTAAATTAATAATGTGTACTCACCCTAGATTGTAATTTTTGTATAGGGAAACCTTCAAAATAGAATGTTTCATTCCAACGTGGATTTAGTGTACGCCGCTTAATTTTTGTCTCTAATCGATGTTTTTTATCGGGCAGCAATGTAACACGCACATAAGGATCCGATGTGCCGCTCAAGTCCTTAGCTGGTAGCTCTTTACCCTGCAACACCTTCAAGATTAATGTTGTATTTTGGAAGTCGTATTCCAACGAAAAATGTATTTGCCCAACATTCTCACTGGGCTCTGAGTTGTCGATATACATATCAGTCATCGAAATGCTTTTCTTCTGAAGTAATATTATACAAATAATAATGTAAATAATTAAAAAAAAAATTTAGTAGGAGTATTTACTGCGCCATCCTTAGCAATACAACTTTCAGTAACCCCACTGGTGTTTGAGCCGACTATAGTTTTATTTTGAGACTGCGTTTGTGTTGTTCTGTAACGAAGCAATATCTCAATTCAATTGTTTATAAATATGTACAACATACAATTTTGCAAATAATTTTGCTGCGAAAAAAGAATGATACACTTATATTAAAATAATGAATTATTAATCGAAATTTTAGCATTTGTTAACACAATCATTTTTATGTTTATTTCCTTCAGCTACTTCTAAATATTGTGTATACACTACAAGTACTTATACAATATAGTATATACGTATATCCAGCCTGTGCTGGAGATCGCACGAAATTATTTGAGGTCTGATGAAATTTAGTCGATTCGAACTTAAATTCAAACAACTGACATTTAACATGGGAGTCTTTCCTTTCTCTGCAATACTATATAGATACTTCATAGGCACATAGCGAGTACATACCATTCCGATGTCCCCCCTTTGGTGACTGACTCCTAGCTAGAAAGATCGAGACTTTGGCTGCAAATAAAATTACTATTGCTAAATATGATCGCTAATTCACTTGCATTAGAATCAGCTGTTGGCGTACATGTCTATTGTATAATTGAAAAGTTTGCAAAAGTAAAAAACCAAACAAAATATAAAAAATCACTAGAATTTTCTAACAAATTGTGTAATATGAGTAAGCGACATATCCGTAGACTAATTAAAAAGCAAAGAGATTTGGATTTTCAAAATGCAAGTGGCTGTAGTGTTCGTGAAGGTAGCACTGCTGACTTAGGAGAAACAGCGTTACCAGCAACAGCCGGCGCACAATAAGGTAAAATGTGTTCATTTTGGAGATTAATTCAAAAATCAAATTTCTAGGCACAAGTAAATTTTTGGCACCAAACAAAAGTAGATAAAATCCCCCATCACTATCTAAACAAATAAATGTATAGATTTCTTCCAATATTCTCTGAAAATTACAGGATTATTCCTTTTTGTGTACACACAGTGAAATAAGTGTTTTTTTTTTAATTTCTCCAATTTATTTTTTTTTAACTGGGAAAATCTATCGAAAATTTGTAATGAAGTCTTTTTGATCAGGTAATTTAGTAAATTCAAAGTGATTTCTTTTGTTCGGGCGGGATAGCCTTTAATAAATATTCGACCTTATATGTCTGCATAATATACATTAGTTGTGAGTTAAGCGGGGTAAAGAAAACCTTGTTTGATTTCCATAATCTACGGCTATTGTAGTTTCTTTTTGTAAGAAAGAAGTTTCGCCAATATTGCGCACTTTCCCAGTATATGCATTTCTTTATGCGAGCTGCCTGGTCAAATACTTTATAGAAATTTCTTAAGGCAGAAAGAAAAAGTACAGCAATGGCAAAATAAAAGTAAGATCTCGTATAAAACTACAAGATCTCGTTAATTCGATTTTACCTTATGGAACACAAAAATGTTATTTATGTCGAGCTAGCTCGAAAGATTATAATAAAATTGATGAAATGGTGAAGAAAGATATAAAAACAAAAAATTAACAATTTGGACTTTCTTTACGTAAGGGGTGGATTAGGTTCTTTGAATGCCTGCTCCACTTATCGTATAAATTGTGAATGAAAATCGGAAAGTTTGAACAGTAGCGAGAAACAATTCGGTTCGGAAATTAAAGCACGCGTTCAAAATTAATTTAAAGATGAAATTGGTCTGATTGTTGACCAACCGAAACCAGGATTTGTCAGTTCTGATGAAGGCAATACTTCCAGGTGTTTCTTTCAAAATCCTAGATGTCAGCAGAAATTTCATTAAAAAGATGCATAGATGCAGAGATGTTTCTATAGGGCACCATGGTGAAGTACGGAAGTCTCGTGACTACGCTTTAAATACAGGAAAATATTTCATTGAATGTTATCCTTGTTATAACATGTCTCCAAAACTTCACGAATATTTCATCCATGGACCAGAGATATCTTCCGCTCTGTTACTAATCGGGCAATTATTAGAAGAAGCTCAGGAAACTCGAAACAACGATTTTAAGGCTTTAAGAGAATATTTTTCTAGAAAATGTAATAGAAAAAAAGCAAATGAAGGCATACTCGTATGAATTTAATAGACATTTAATCAAATCTCGTTATGTCTACCAGAAGAAAATTACCACAAAAAATATTAAGGATTTACCGGAAGATGGGCGTGATGGAGAGTGGAAATAATAATGAAGTTGATGATGAAGGCGATAATGACAATTCAAGCGATTCAAATAACTCTAATTGCATAACTAGAATGCTTGAGGTAAGATGCCAAAAAACTATACAAAGATCTCTCTTTAAGTTGATATTATCCAAGAACTCGAGGTATTAAAAGCAAGCTAAATGACTAGTATCTAAATAGTCCATATTGCAATTTTAACATTATACCATTTACCGAGGCTTTAACCTCACGTTTTGATAACGAAATTTTAAACAATGAGTATCAAATTTATAGAACTGATCGATTAAACAGAATCGGAAGCGGAATTCTACTCACCGCTCATTTTTCAGTTCCTTCTGAAGATGTGACCATTCCTGGTTAAGATTACATGGAATTCAAATACATTCATATAATGCTATCGTATACACTTCCACGATCGGACCTGTCTGTATACGTGCAGCAGGCTTGTTTATTTAAAAATTTTATTTCGTTGGTAAAACAATTCGCTTCCTTGATTGCTTTGGGTGACTTCAATTTGCCATGTGTTTCATGGAAACCCGTTAACGATAATGTTACCCCAAATTGTAATCGATCCTGTGTAACTGAGTTTCTGTAAGAACTGTCCGACTTTTGTCTCAATCAAATTAATATAACTCCTTTTAGTTTTGGTGTTTGTGGATAATTCTTCTAAATTTTCTGTCATTGGATGCGATCCTCTTGTTTTGATACAGGATGTGTATCATTCTACTTTAGAGATAACATTTGAAATCGGGAGTAAACTTTTGGCTGATAATTATAGTTCTTGGGAAATGTATACCTTAAAAACCTGGGCTTAAAATAAAACAAATGAATTCGTGGTTAACAAAGGAGATATTATGTTTAAAGAATAGACGATCAAAAGCTTTTAAGACTTTCAGGAAAATTGGCTTACACTTACATTATCAAAAAATTTTCGAGATTAACAAAAAGTAACAAATTTTAAGAAAAATATTGTACGCAATCCAAAGCTGCTCTAAGATTTTGTTAACTCCACTCGTAAGCTTTCCACCTTTACGTCCGTCATGAAATACATTTCTACCATGTCATGTGACAGTCTAAGTATTTCAAATATGTTCGCGCAATTTTTTTTAACAAGTTATTCAATCTGTCAGCAGTATCTACGTTCAAAAACAAGAATTAACTCACCAACTATTTCAGAGGAAGATGTTTTATATCATTTGGGGAATCCAAAGCATTTTTCATTCATATGATTCCTATAAGCTTTCTGCAAAGTTGTAAAAAAAATCTGTATATACCTTTAACTTGTCACCTCCACTTTTTATAATTACAATACGTATGTGGGTATGTACATACGTACATATATATGTATATCTCCAGTGGCTGTTTTTTTTTATACAAATAAAAAATACGTGTTCGCTCTTTTGAAGATTGCTCGAATCTGATCCAACAAAGCCCTAAAAGCAGAGCCATGAATTTTAGCATCCAAATAAGGGCGTTCGTCGTGACCGTCCGTCACCGACGAAAATGCTAACCTCACTTCTTCAAAATCGACACCTACATTTGCCAGCTGGGAGTCAGCAGTTTCACTTACTCGCCCTAGACCGCCTGTTCTGCTGTCCCAGTTGTTTATCTCTGGTTTCCCGATCTGTTGTCTGACCTGACAACCCTATCGCTCCATCGAAACTTCCTTATTCTTTCATCAGCCCTACCATCTATAACGGGCCCTGAACGGAATGGGCTGTGGCTTCGCCTACCACTGGAATCCGTACTTCGTTGGGTTCCATTGGAGCCACTCGGCCTTGCTGCGCACACCGGGCAGTCCCGCTTCATAACTCCAAGTCTTCCGCACCCGAAGCACTTTATACCCTTCATACACTCTTAAGAGACATGCCCGACTCTCCTACAATTGAAGCACCGGGTATATGAATCCGGCTTAAAATTATCTACAGGGTCCGGCTCTGCTACTGCCGCGACCTCTACACCAGCCGAGACATAAGCCAAGTCAGGTTCCAACAAAACCCTTGGTCTTATGACTCAGAGGAGGGACAAACGCGTCCAGTAACGACCTCACTGCCTCTAGTTGTCTACCTTAAGCGACTAGTTCTGCAATAGAGCCTATTTTCACCGCTGCTAACTGGGTCTGATAAAAGGGAAGGAGATGCGACCTAATCAGTCCTAACATTTTTCTCTCAGATAGAGGCTCCTGAAGCCTACCAAACATGATCTTCATCGTTGCGACATATACATCTATGGACTCCTTCACTCCCTGAGTCCTTCGCCTATTTTCATCTAGTAGGTGGTCCTCGTAGTTGGGGTGCAAAAACTCCAACTTCAACTCTGTTACCAGCTCCTCCCAACTACCTATTGTCTTCCTAACATACCTAAACCATAACAACGCCTTTCCACTGAATAAATCCACCGCGCCTCGGAAGAGCAGGGCTAAAGTCACACCGCGTGCTTCGCTCAACTCCTTAACCTGTTCTAAAAACTCGAAAAGCGACATTCTCGCTTTTTCGCCGTCAAAGTGGACGTCCCACTCTGCCAAGTTCACAGGCTTCGGCGACTCGACTGTCTCCTCGACCACGCTTCGTATCTCCACGGGCGGAGGTGCTATCGGGTCCGCACGAGTGGCACCCGAGCGCTCAACCGAACTAATTTCCTCTTCGGCTTCTTCACCACCGACTACCTCTTGTAGTTCGGGGAGATGGAGCAACAACCTGCTCTTCAGCTCCATCTGCTCACTCATCTCGCCGACATTGCCCGGTCGCGCCCGACCTAATCGCGAAAGGCACCACTCAATCTTTGCCATCGCGTTCGCTCCATGCGATGGCTTGCTTCCATCCGAAACCGATAATTTTAATTTTTCTCCTCCTTTTAACCTCCTCCAGTTTCGATTCTACCGCCGT